CGCAGCCTACACGCTGGCACAGGTCATCACTCCCGTCGTCCTGACCATTGAAAACAAAGAGGGAAATTTTTCGATATGCCCCTGAAATTTTGATTAATTTGCGGCGTGCCCCTCTGATGGCCAACTTACCCTGTCGTGCCCCTGTCTCTTATACACATCTAGATGTGTATAAGAGACAGCTCTCTCTCTCTCTCTCCTGATCTTCTTCATGCATTCACTCTCTATACCTACCTTCGCAAATCCTCCAGCTTCAATCCCGCTGACTCACACATTTTCCTGCACACAAAATGAACCACCCACAAAGAAGAAAAATACTAAAAACCAGGGATGCTGCAGATGAGGCACTTCAAAAAGAAACTCCCTTGGAAGTATTCATTAATAATTTAATACATTATGCCTTTATCAATATCAATAGAATACTACAAATTAATTGACGCACTAACATGCATGTGACATTATCTGGAAAATTGGGGTAAGCATGGTTCATGGAACTCGTGGAGAAGAAAATTCACTTCCAGTAACTTCTGCGAAACGCCACTTCCGGGTAGTCAGCTTGAGTATCCTATCCCAGGTTCATTGCAACAGATCCAACATCTCTGAATGAACAGGGACGATTTTTAGGTCCAGATACATACAGCACATAAGGACCCAAAACAAACGATGTTCAAAACCAGCAAAAGATAAAAAGGAACATGCATGGATTGCTTATCGTGATCCCAATCACACTGGGGTGATCAAAATGATGCATCCTGTCCTTTGGGACATCCCTTAAAATTAGAATGGCACAGAGAAAGAAGACTGGCATGGCCCCTGCTCTCTTCTCTTCGATCAGCAGTGGTAGAGGTGAAGAGCATCGTGCATTCACAATTTCACAGCCATTAGGACACATCGGTTGCGAGGGGGAAAAGTTCAAAAAACACCTTTGACAGGTTTAGCACCAACTTATCCACTATAACATCTATGACATGTGTTTGACTGTGACACCATGGTGTCAAATAGATCTCATAGCAACACAGTTCTTGCAGGGAAGGTGGGATAAGAATTTGAAAATACAAAAGACTTCAAAAAGGGGGGGG